TTCCAACTACTTCCGTGAATCTCACTCGTATACGTCCTGAGGGAGATATTCAACATTGTGATCACCAAAGGATACTGGTACGTCCTTTTTTACATAGATTATGATGGACACTATCTCTCGGAAATTGTTGAAAGTTACATGTTTGGCACATTAAATCGCAAATATCAAGCGGCCTTTGCGGTGAGGCATTGTGATGCATACTGGAATCGAAATGGAGGTGGTCTTGAGAATGTCTAGTATCTGTAAGCACTTCTATAGCAATTATAATTATTTTCAGAACGAAGCGCGGCTTCTAGCAGGTCGGAAGAATTACCACTAGTGGTTAGAAGAGAGGGGAGCGGCTAGCGATCGACTGCCTTATCAATTTTTAAGGCAAAAACGAGTCTGATCGGCAATTTGCGAGCTGTGTAGGTAAAGGCTATTTGCCAAACGAGGCGCAAAGGAAACGACTGTCACGTGATTTGAGAACTGAAAAGCAATTCTCACACATAATTTCTCCCAAATTTCTTATAAATGGTTCGCCTACTTAGATAACAGAACGCCCCACTATATGTTGACCGTCGATTTCTCTATCCTAATCGAGAACCTTCCATCTACAAGCAATCTGTTCTTTCACTATGAAAAAATAATAGGAAGAAGATTTATTAAACATTTGTAAACATATATGCGGTATCCCAACTCAACTCAACATAGGACTCGCACGGGGGCGATGACTACGAAACGAAATAAGCGACTAATAAAATTACTTTAATATGGTGGTAAATGAATGTGTGAGACAATCTGGTACATATCAGCAGAAAAGTCAGCTATCAAAGTACTGCATAGGATACTTATCGGCAGCGGAGTACTTGTATTGTTGTTGACCGGGCGGAACTGCTGCACTTCCCGATGAAGCTCTCCAGAACGAGCTGTTCTGACTGAGCTGTGCCGTTGAGCCTATTGAGCTTCCGTTCACACCTCCCCAGCCTAGATTATAGCCAGGAGGAGCGCGGACCTGTAAAAATGCGCAATGCTCAGAAGAAAAATTCCGAGGAACAGAGTATATTAGAATGAATAGCACATATCATCCATATTCACGTCCATATGCAGACAAGGTTATCACTCTATACAGAGTGATGCTTGCAATAAGGAACACTCTGAATACACCAAAATTTTAGATACTACATCTTCCAAATGCTTTAACAAAGCCGACATCGCTTCTTTCAGACTAGTCAAAGCAATTATCTGAACAAGCAGTCAGAAGAGTTGATATTCCTAGTTTATGGGTCTTAGGGAACGGCCATAGGTTGCCGGCGACGGTTGACGAG